AGCCCAAGGTATAACGTTTCCTCAATGTAAAATATTTTAACGTTATAAATGGAGAAATACTAACGTCGTGACAACTTTGTGACATGACGTTACCAATCTACAACCTGGGAAGGTGCTAAGATTCTTTCAATGCTGAAATGACACCTGGAAGAAGTTCAAAGAACCTCGGACGTGGCATCTTCCTCTGTATCAACAACTATATACTGAGTCAAAAAAGAAACTTCACAAAATGTAATTTGAAAATTAATGAATAATTTTTTTCTGATGATAGATTTATGTATCCGAAATGGGATCCCTATCTTTCGACTCTAGAAAAACGTTAACAAAACCCACTCAAACCCATTAATTCGTCGTGCAGACGACGTTAGTGACAAATCAGGTTTTGCTCGTGCAGTCGATCACGTGATCTTCGCATCGACGTTTTCTTCATATGCACGTGTTTGCATTGGCCTCAAGAATTGAAAAAATACCTTTTAAACCACAGTTCTAACGGTACTTGAAATGCCACGATTGTCAAATGTGCAACGTGAACGTGCCGTTGGCATGTTGCAAGCGGGAAGATCAGTTATTGACGTCGCAAGAGCAATGGGATGCAGCCGTCGTACTGTGTATGACTTGCGAGGTCGTCTACAACAAACTGGCACCACTTCTGATCGCCCAAGGTCGGGTCGTCCACGTGTGACCGTCAAATCGTCCTACGTCACCTACGTGACAGATTTCTGCCGGCTACACGAACCAGGGATGAGATGTTTAGAGGTCGACTGTCCTCACAGACCACTCGAAATCGGTTGCGGGATGCCAATCTCCATTCTCGACGTCCATATTGTGACTTGACATTCTGTATACCCATGATTTGGAACGGCGGTGTAGCCTAATGGAACTGATTATGGCACTGTCAGTGTATCGAGTACATCACACAGATCTCAGCAATGAAATAATAACAATTTAACCATCTTACCATCTCTTGTTCTTTTATATTGCCCTGTAGAAAGAATGTGAAGTTTCTTTTTTGACTCAGTATATTTCACAGCGACTTCTGGTGTTGCTGCACGCAACGTCATGGCCAGTGTTATTTTCATCAACCGTCTGTTTCTTTTTTGACGGGTCTCTATATCTTCAACCCTCAAGGTCATTGTAAATGGGTCAGGTGTATACGACTTGTCACATTTTGGATTTCTAAAGGAATTATCTTTTCAAATGTGTGAAGTCTAATTGTGTTGTGTTTACTGTCAATATCAGACATCCTTTGGCAAACCGTGATGACATTATGTGGATGGTGCTTACACAAATTTTTAATAATAGTTCAAAATTCTCATTGCTCTGTGCAATGATAACAATGGAAACTTCCACCCATGATTGATAGCAAACGAACAGATCATCTCAGTATTTCCGTTGTAATAGTGACCTACAATAGAGGAAAAGGGAACGAATCAGAACTCGATAGCTGCAACTACCAAGACAGTTTTGTGGGAGAAGAAACCTACAACCCGTACAGTGATGAAGCAACTACCATCGGCGCGTACAGTTATCGTTTTCGTTAATATCTCAGTTTGTATGTTTTGACAGAAGCTAAAATCCTGACACAGCGGCTGCATAACCTCATTCAACCTAAACATGCACAATACGTGAAATGAATTCAATTAGTTATGTTGGAAAGACGTCGAAAGTGGTCGATTTCTCGGCTTTTCTGATTCGCGCCGAAAGACGTGTCAAGAAATGATTCAAATGTAAACAAAATATAACGTGTCATGACCGAAGTTTGAGACTCACTCTTTACCAGGATCGATTGTCTATCGAGGAAATGGTAGTTGATGACGAACAACTTCCGGTTGAACATAAACAGGGCTTACCTCATGTGGTTATGGCAGTTACATCAATAACAAAATTGAATCAACGCCCTATTAAAGTAGATGAATCAACGCCCTACTAAAGTAGATGAATCAACTCCCTATTAAAGTAGATGAATCAACGCTATTAAAGTAGATAAATCAACGCCCTATTAAAGTAGATGAATCAATGCTCTATTAAAGTAGATGAATCAATGCCCTATTAAAGTAGATGAATCAATTTCCTATCATAGAAGATGAATCAACGCCCTATTAAAATAGATGAATCAACGCTATTAAAGTAGATGAATCCACGCCCTATTAAAGTAGATGAATCAACGCTCTATTGAAGTAGATGAATCAACGCCCTATTAAAGTAGATGAATAAACGATCTATTAAAGTAGATGAATCTACGATCTATTAAAGTGGATGAATCAACGCCTTCTTATATAAGAAGAATCAACGCCCTATTAAAGTAGATGAATCAACGCCCTATTAAAGTAGATGAATCAACGCTCTATTAAAGTAGATGAATCAACGCCCTAGATGAATCAACGCTCTATTAGAAACTAGATGAATCAACGCCCTATTAAAGTAGATGAATAAACGCTCTATTAAAGTAGATGAATCAACGCCCTATTAAAGTAGATGAATCAACGCTCTATTAAAGTAGATGAATCAACGCCCTGTTATATAAGATGAATCAACGCCCTATTAAAGTAGATGAATCAACGCTCTATTAAAGTAGATGAATCAACGCTCTATTAAAGTAGATGAATCAACGCCCTATTAAACTAGATGAATCAACGCCCTGTTAAGGTAGATGAATAAACGCTCCACTAAAGTAGATGAATCAACGATCTATTAAAGTAGATGAATGAACGCTCTGTTAAAGTAGATGAATGAACGCTCTGTTAAGGTAGATGAATCAACGCTCTACTAAAGTAGATGAATCAACGCTATTAAAGTAGATGAATTAACGCTCTGTTAAAGTAGATGAATCAACGCTCTGTTAAAGTAGATGAATCAACGCTCTACTAAAGTAGATGAATCAACGCTATTAAAGTAGATGAATCAACGCCCTACTAAAGTAGATGAATCAACGCTCTACTAAAGTAGATGAATCAACGCTATTAAAGTAGATGAATCAAAGCTCTGTTAAAGTAGATGAATCAACGCTCTGTTAAGGTAGATGAATAAACGCTCCACTAAAGTAGATGAATCAACGATCTATTAAAGTAGATGAATGAACGCTCTGTTAAAGTAGATGAATGAACGCTCTGTTAAGGTAGATGAATCAACGCTCTACTAAAGTAGATGAATCAACGCTATTAAAGTAGATGAATCAACGCCCTACTAAAGTAGATGAATCAACGATCTATTAAAGTAGATGAATAAACGCTCTATTAAAGTAGATGAATCAACGCCCTATTAAAGTAGATGAATCAACGCTATTAAAGTAGATAAATCAACGCCCTATTAAAGTAGATGAATCAATGCTCTATTAAAGTAGATGAATCAATGCCCTATTAAAGTAGATGAATCAATTTCCTATCATAGAAGATGAATCAACGCCCTATTAAAATAGATGAATCAACGCTATTAAAGTAGATGAATCCACGCCCTATTAAAGTAAAGTAGATGAATCAACGCTCTATTGAAGTAGATGAATCAACGCCCTATTAAAGTAGATGAATAAACGATCTATTAAAGTAGATGAATCTACGATCTATTAAAGTGGATGAATCAACGCCTTCTTATATAAGAAGAATCAACGCCCTATTAAAGTAGATGAATCAACGCCCTATTAAAGTAGATGAATCAACGCTCTATTAAAGTAGATGAATCAACGCTATTAAAGTAGATGAATCAACGCCCTGTTAAAGTAGATGAAATCAACGCTCTATTAAAGTAGATGAATCAACGCCCTATTAAAGTAGATGAATAAACGCTCTATTAAAGTAGATGAATCAACGCCCTATTAAAGTAGATGAATCAACGCTCTATTAAAGTAGATGAATCAACGCCCTGTTATATAAGATGAATCAACGCCCTATTAAAGTAGATGAATCAACGCTCTATTAAAGTAGATGAATCAACGCTCTATTAAAGTAGATGAATCAACGCCCTATTAAACTAGATGAATCAACGCCCTGTTAAGGTAGATGAATAAACGCTCCACTAAAGTAGATGAATCAACGATCTATTAAAGTAGATGAATGAACGCTCTGTTAAAGTAGATGAATGAACGCTCTGTTAAGGTAGATGAATCAACGCTCTACTAAAGTAGATGAATCAACGCTATTAAAGTAGATGAATTAACGCTCTGTTAAAGTAGATGAATCAACGCTCTGTTAAAGTAGATGAATGAACGCTCTACTAAAGTAGATGAATCAACGCTATTAAAGTAGATGAATCAACGCCCTACTAAAGTAGATGAATCAACGCTCTACTAAAGTAGATGAATCAACGCTATTAAAGTAGATGAATCAAAGCTCTGTTAAAGTAGATGAATCAACGCTCTGTTAAGGTAGATGAATAAACGCTCCACTAAAGTAGATGAATCAACGATCTATTAAAGTAGATGAATGAACGCTCTGTTAAAGTAGATGAATGAACGCTCTGTTAAGGTAGATGAATCAACGCTCTACTAAAGTAGATGAATCAACGCTATTAAAGTAGATGAATCAACGCCCTACTAAAGTAGATGAATCAACGATCTATTAAAGTAGATGAATAAACGCTCTATTAAAGTAGATGAATCAACGCCCTATTAAAGTAGATGAATCAACGCCCTATTATTGTAGATGAATCAACGCTCTGTAAAAGTAGATTAATCAACGCCCTATTAAAGTAGATGAATCAACGATCTATTAAAGTAGATGAATAAACGCTCTATTAAAGTAGATGAATCAACGCTCTACTAAAGTAGATGAATCAACGCTATTAAAGTAGATGAATCAACGCTCTGTTAAAGTAGATGAATCAACGCTCTACTAAACTAGATGAATCAACGCCCTATTAAAGTAGATGAATCAACGCCCTATTAAACTAGATGAATCAACGCCCTGTTAAAGTAGATGAAACAACGCCCTATTAAAGTAGATGAATCAACGCCCTATTATTGTAGATGAATCAACGATCTATTAAAATAGATGAATCAACGCAAGTAGATGAATCAACGATCTATTAAAATAGATGAATCATCGCAAGTAGATGAATCAACGATCTATTAAGTAGATGAATCAAAGTCTCGTTACAGTACAAGGGCCAGTTCCAGGATTTGGGATTTGGAGAAGGAGGGGTGCACATAAATCATGAAGTCCAAAAGGTTTGGAGGAAATGCTCCTCAGGGAAATATTTTTCGGGGAGGGGTGGCGCAACCCCCTCTGGATCCTCTCCTGCAGTATGTGAATCATGATCCAGCACTAGAGTCTTCCAATATGCTGCCAAACCGTTTCAGATCCTTAAAGCCTTGAATAGCACATTTCGCACCGGCAACGCGGCATCCAAACTGAATGGCATCGCTCAAACTCTTTCCGGAGGAAAGTGCTGCAGTGACGCTGCCAACGAAGGTGTCGCCACAACCGACTGTATCAATAACATGTGGCTGCAGAAACGCTGGTATAGATATGACGTCACCATCGGCTGTCTTCCCTGCGGCACCGTCTTCACCCCAAGCACAAATGGCCACTGCCCTATAGCAACGAAAACAAGTAGCATTAGTTCCGACATTAGTGAGTGAGATAGTTTCCCGCTTCTTTGGTTAATATTATGCTTATATCAACGCGTGTCGATAGGGGATGGGGGTGGGGGTGGGCTGTACTGCTGCGAAGACATTCAGAGATGTGCCTGGTCAAGACTCAGTTATATGCATATGGTCGTGATACAGCTGGAATATGGTGACGTAAAACAACTGTCACTCAGGAATTTAAATACTTCTGTAAATGTTGAAAAAGAACACATCACATGCGACAACTTCTTTGTAAACTGAAAGATTGGTGGTTTCATAACAAGTTTTATAGGTAACCTTGTATTATTCAATAACCCTGAAAATTACGTTAAAATTAAATCGGTTGAAACACACGGGATTAGCATGCAACCACCCATTTGTTTCCAAAACAATCACATGTATCTTAAACCAGCAGCACACGGTGTGAAGATGGTTAAATGGTTATTAACATTTCCATGTCTCTCATAAATTGGTTCTGTACATTTTATGAATGAATTGTATGTACAAATGTGTATATTTTTTATCTTTGTACAGAAGTGAGACGTTAATAAACTGTTGTCTGTCTGTCTGTGTGTGAAGGCATCGCTTCAATAGAGGCACTAGCTTGGGGAGTAGGACTGAATGAGTTGCTGTGTTACCCTGGCTTGACTTTCTTGCTGTAGACGTCCACGCAGGTCTCTTTACACGTCAGGCCCTTAGACCGGGACCAATCCTTGCTCAAGAACACGTAGTCCGGACAGTTGACAATGGTCTCTGAATGACATCAACACAACGCACTGACACAAGTCATGTGTGTACAGATAAATCGACTAAATATAGACATCGTTGTGGTCGGCAAAATCGGGGCCAAGAGAAGTCAGGTGGTACTACAGAATTATCTTAACGTTTATCTATCTGTAACCTACTTGATATTACAAAAAGTACCAAAGAACTGTAGCTCACCTGTACATGACCTCAGCAGTAAAACAGGTCAACATCGGCCACAAACCAAAAGTTACTTTAGACATTGCTATTTAAATAGTTTCTGTAACTACGAATTGCTTGTATGTTAATTGTTTCTAATTGGGCAAGAATTAATTAGCTTCTGTATTAACGACACAGGAAAAAACGGTTAAATTTATTTTACACAAACCTTCAACTTTAAGGAATATAATGTTTCTAATGACATATGATATCTCACGCCACGGTAGTTTGAACAAATCCTAGAACATCAGATTCAATATCTTGTAGTTTCTGAGGACTATCCTGAATGTGAACAGACAACAACACAGACGTCGATGACGCCCCACGGACACCAGATGCCAGACTCGGGACGCCGGCCAAACGAGCCATTATCATGATTATATGGCCTCACTGAACTTTCAGCATTAACGGCTCACTACTGGAGAGGGATGCACTTTCACACGATCTTAAGAGCAATAAACTAAAAAGGGTTTCCGGAGAATGAGGTTCAGTCTAAAGGTGGGGCGGTGGGGTAGCCGAGTGGTTAAAGCGTCCGCTCGTCACGCTGAAGACCCGGGTTCGATTCCCCACATGGGTACAATGTGTGAAGCCCATTTCTGGTTCCCCCACCGTGATATTGCTGTAATATTGCTAAAAGCGGCGTAAAACCCAACTCACTAACTCACTCAGGCTAAAGGGGTTTGTTTCGTCCCTAGTCACAGTGTTTCGCTTACTCTGATTAACCATATGTACTCAAAACATGCTTACATATCTCACTGACATTGCTTTAAATAATTCAGATTGTATATATATGCATATTTTTGGAACTCATTATTTGGTCGCCAATAGTTTTAATCGCCAATGGAACAAATTAAACCGTTTGTGGAAATGCTCAGTCTCTCGTTGCTGGGTTTCATGTAGAGCACGTTTCACTAAACGTCTAATATGTTTACATGTATGACCTGGATTGACTGACATATTTTGCTATTGATTAATATAACGCCCGCAAGCCTCGAGTGTCGCGATGTAATTAGCTGCATTGTGCGACACAGGGTAAACATGACTTATGACGTCAATGAACGCTCGTAAGGGGAGCTATTAGTTTGAAATTTAGCACAGAAATCTGAAGCGAATCTGAAAAATGTGAAGTGGAAAGGTTGAATCCTAGCACTGTAATGTGCACAATTCTGAAGATACCAAAGGTTTCATGACAGTCTTCTTGAAACCCACCACTCCTGGTTCAGTCACGGACATATAAGCCTGCATAGTATCCTTCCCTGCTGGACGACGTAAGATGACGTTAAAGTATATCATTTTTGTTGCCCTGCCTGGCGCTCGAAGTTGAGGAAAAAACTACGACTGGTTCTGAATTAGTTCGGCATAGTAACTCAATCTCTCTCTCTCGAACCCGCCTGCGTTGTAACGAGCGATCACTTTAACTATTAAGCTGCCCCTCCATCTTCTAAGTCGACAGAAATACAACCCGTCGCAGACATGTACTTACCCAGTTCAGGGAACATGACTTGTTCAAGTTCCATGGATGTCTTAATTTGATGAACAGGCTCCACTGACTCGTTGTGTTTCTTGATCTTCTGGAACATCTTCCTCATTTCGTCTGCGTTTGAGCGACCCTGCAATTAACGATTAAAGCATTAATCCTCCCACGCAGAGATTCCCCTCCCTTTCATCATCGGAACACAGGCAGCGTTTATACGGTTACAAATATAGATACCCGTTGGTGTGTACTACGAAATCATTTTATATGGAAAATAAGTATATATCATTTCTGATTATTCCAAAATGAAACAATTTTGCAAATACAAAATATAAAAGATCAAATTATTTTATAGAGATCCTAAGGCCTTTTAGAGACTGTTACTATACGTTCAACGAAGTTTTACGCCGCACTCAAGATTACAGCACTAATGCGTGAGTGCGTTTGTGTGGCTATTTGTACTACAGTCTGTTTGGGTCAAAATGATACCGATTAATCACAATCTAGCTCCACATGGATTCATGATCAGTCAATCATTCATTTCAAGGCATAATGTAATGAAAACATCAGAACTGCCCCGATTGGGAAGAAAAAACAACTTTCATGGCGTTTGTCTCCAAGATAAAAAAGTTACTTAACAAACTACCATCATTTGTTTTGACTTTCCATGTGAAGTTTTACGAGGGTAGAGTAACAGTAGTACTGTTGCGGGAACAGCCTCAATGGCGGGAAGCACGTGCAATGGTGACGCCACATCAACCATAGTCAATCGATTTATTGACACGTTACACGAGACAATGAAATGCCCCTCTGACATTAAGTCCATTAGTTTATGATCTTTTCAAGGTGAAAGTGAAAGGGGTCGCCCTGGGAAAATTTGTTCAACGCACTACATGTGCAGTTGGGATGTCTGAAAGACATTTGAAAAATTTATTAAAACAACGTGCAACCGAGTCAGGAAAGTTGACAAACTTAACTGTTTGCAGAGTTGGAAATGCTAGAAAAATGCTTTTTAGCCTTAATATCTTTACAAAGGTGATAAATGTATTACGTTGTCAATCAACTCACCTATAGTGTATCTAATTTTTATTTCAATTGATTTAAAGGGCAGTTTACAGGAGAGAATTTGGTACCAAAACAACGACTTAAGATTTTTTCAGAGTTCAACAACAGACATCTGAAATAGTCTTTACATTTATGCTAATAATACAGGTGGTGTAAAAATATAAATTAACGTTTTTCTTAAACAAATAAATGTTGAATGTTTGTGTTACTTTACTTAATTATCGTTTCTTTATTGAAGAAATATTAATATAAATGTTAAGTCTTGATAAATAAGTTTCCCGTCATGCATGCACATCTTTATAACAGCCTCCACTATGGCCAACTGTTTGCAGACGATTGTTGCAAAGGTTTATAAGTTTCTTGTGCTTGAAAAATACAGAGGTAAACCTTTCATTAGTATAGAAATGGTTTAATACAGAACTTGTAGAGCTGTTGGTATGTCTTACCAAAAAGCTTACAATATTGTAAAAAAAATCAGACAAGACAGGGACCGTCTCAAAAGCAAAACCGGGACGTAAAACCATCCTTGACAACTTTGACAAGGGAGTACTTAGACGGGCGGTCTACAAACTTTAGGAGAAGAAGAATGTATATATTCTAAAGAAGCTACACCAGTGACTTCGTTAAATCTTTGGCCAATGTTCACAACTAGATTAAACTGACTGAATTACATCCATATGTTTGCAATGAAATATACTGTTGACATTCAAAACATTTATTAAAACGTTGCACATTTCTACAATCAATCGATAAGATAACACAAGTGATAGGATTCTTTCCAATGTACAGTAATTCGTATGTTTATTTCACAACAAACACACATACACAAATGATCCCTCACATAACCAATACGTATACCATACGTACACATATTCAACAATTTGAAGAAAACATCTATTGAGATGACCTCTCCCCCGAGCGTGTGCTCAGGTGTCAATTTCACCTGTCGATACCGTGCATGCCGATGACGTAACACAGGCAGTTAATGTTTGTATCAAATAACGTCCCACTACCCCTTATTTTTCTAAGTTTTTGGTATTTTCATCAGTAAAAACGCATTTTAGGGCATGTCTCAAACTGTATTTCCTCGGTGTACATTAGGTAGATGTTTCTTAAAGTGATATTTGTTATTTAAGTAACTGTAATACATCTGAATTTTAAATATAACTCAAAAAGCATTTTTCTAGCATTTCCGACAGTACTTTAGAAGACTCTATAGCACAAATATACTGAACATCATTGAAAACGCACCAGTCTAAAATTGTCCATATTTTCATCAAGATGGATTTCAGCATGACAATGATCAATGAATATAACTAACATGAAGTCGAAGGGCATGTCCAGTTGAAAAAATGCATTTAGAAACACATTCCTGTCCACAGTATGACTCTTCATTCCAAAATGCATCAACATGCAGCCACGCCATGAAAAAAGCGCGAATTTCATTCTGAAATCATACTGACTGTGACATTAAAAGCAGGTGTATGAAAACCGTTTCTCATTGCTTCACTAACGATTGTGAAACGAGGACAGAGATGCCGAGGTTAACACCTCACGAAAGTATGGAATACTGTAAGGGACATTCTCGCGATCTCGCATTCTCGCGATCTCGACCTGTGGAAACAAGCTAAAACTGCGAGAATGCGAGATCGCGAGATTTGGCCAAAATCTCGCGTTCTCGCATTCTCGTGTTTTTGGTACATAGCACTTTTTGTCAAAAGTCGACAACACGAGAATGCGACATTTGTACATGCTGTCAAATCTCGCAATCTCGCAATCTCGACTTGTCAAATAAGGCCACAAAAACACGAAATCGCGAGAACGCGAGAATGCGACATTTCATTTTCTCGCGTTCTCGCGATCTCGCAATCTCGCGTTTTAGACGCTGTCGTTGCGCATGCGTAATATTATAAGGTGCATGCGCATCTTAGTAGTACTCTGGTCATGCTTCTTTCATGCTTTTCATTTCCCAAGTAGCATTTAGCAAAATTATGACATAGCTTGAAAATGCTATGTAATTTACATACACGAAGTATAGGGTAGTGTATATAAGTCCACTCCCGTTGTTACAATTTCCTATGTACCTACAAATCCTCAACATGTTAAATTTTATTTAACAAACGAAATTGTGAATATGAATGTCCAATAAAAGTGAAAACATGAAAGTGTCCGGAAGCTGGAAAAATATTAACGTCAGTGATAAAATATTGCTTAAAGCCACATCAATTCGCAGCTACACCATCAGTTATAGAAATAATCACAGACCAGTGAGTCTCTGCATGATACTATATCATATACGGCTAGCATATTCATTCAAACAAAATTCTAACCGACCAATTTGTAGCAGTCGGTTTTCGCGTCTTTAGGCCATAAGATATGAATTAATAGATTTTCTTCCGCTCCCGCCTGACTACAAAACACCCTGTCTTACATGATTCTTTTGTCTCCATGTTCCAAGAAATAGAAATGCATTTGTACCAATAATATTTGCGTTCCTCTGGCAGCCATGATATAGTGGAGTTTCAATGTGTTATTTACCACAGACTACGGGTTATGAGTGAGATATCTCTTTATATTTATATACTGGTGGAAGAAGACACCCTGTAATAACAATAATATACACGATATACACAACATAAAATCACATCTGATGAACATGTCATCATAATAAATATAGTGCATAAATGTGCCTATCAACAATCATATACAGGTATTACGCGATGCAATATAGTGATATACAAAATGACTGTTGACATAAAGACTTATAATAATAAACTCTGTCAAAAAAGAAACGCAACCCCTGTATTTTAGAGATTTTGATCTGAAGTTTTAGGACGACACGGCATTTTTATTATTTAAGACAGAAGTCTGAAATTTGGCAGAATAATAACCCAGATGGGCATGTTTAAAATTGTCATTTCAAAAGTCATCTCACAGACACCAGTTTGTCACCAGGGGGGCGTCTTTCTCAGTATCTCGTATGAGCACCACGCGCTGCAATCACTGCACGGCATCTCCTTGGACAAGAACGGATAAGACGCCGGATTCTTTCCTGGGGAATGGCTCTCCACTCCTCCTGCAGTGCAACGGCGAGCTGTTGCAGCGTCTGTGGCGGCGGCTGACGTTGACGTACGCGTCGATCAGAGTATCCCACAGGTGTTCAATAGGGTTGAGGTCTGGTGATTTAGAGGGTCATGGCAGAGACATTGACGTTGGAATTCTGCAGAAAGTTCATTGTTGCACGTGCAGTATGAGGCCGGGCGTTGTCCCGTTGAAAAATCTGTGTCTGTTGGTCAATAATCGGGAGAAGGTGAAGCTCTAACACGTGGTTGATGTAACGTTGGGCTGTCAGGTTCCCTGGAACGATCACCAAGTCTGATTTCTGGTTGTATGAGATGGTTCCCCAAACCATGACGCTTTCTCCGCCAAATCTGTCCACCTGTCGGACGCAGATGGGCGCAAAACGTTTATGACGTCTCCTATACAGACGCTGTCTTCCGTCGTGACGTTGCAAAGAAAACGTGATTCATCAGAAAACCAGATTCGCCTCCAGTTTTGTAAAGTCCGTATCCTTACGTTGTTGCACCACCTGAGTCGTCGGCGTCGATGTAGGGGGCGTAGTACAGGTCCAACAACTGGTCTACAGGCACGTAAACCCGCTTCTTTCAGACGGTTCCTAATCGTTTGAGCTGACACTCTCCTCAAACCTGGTATTTGTGTGGCAGTCACGGTTGGTAGGGCATGCCGATTACGCAGGTGATGGACCCGGATGTACCGATCTTGAAGGGGTCGTGATTCTTGGCCTTCCACTTCTCGGGCGATCGTTGGTCAAATTGAAGTTGTTGTAGCGGCTCCAAAGTCGGGATATCGTTGTTTTGTGAACATTTAGGTGCCGTGCAACAGTTCAAAACTTTCTCCGGCGAACACGACCAATGGCGATATTTCGGTCGGCAGCACTCAATCGTGGCATTTTTAACACAGCTTTTCGGCGACAAATGAATGAATATAATACGGAAGCACATGGGCTTTTATACACCCCTACATTAACTGCCATTTTCATGATTTGCATGT